CCTGATTGTGTTGATGAACTTGTTAGAGAAGGAATGAAAGAGGATATAGCCATTGATGATTTTAACTTGAATGACTTTATTTAAATTAGAGATGTTGAACTCTTTCTTTCTTTTGGTGTTTTGATTTTATGTATTGTTAACTAAACTCTTTTATTATTTGTGACTTATTCTCCTTGATTTATATTACGAGTTAAGAGTTTATGACTTTTATATTATGTTTATGAGTTTTACAATTGATATAAGTTATTTTACATGCATATATATGGTTGAATATAATTTTGTATCACAGGTAGCAGGATCTTATGATCCGTGTCAATCCCACGATTTACGATCCTCTTACCCTTTACTGATCCTACATAGGATCTCGATTTTAACAACATTGCATTAAACTAACTTCCAATATGTTTTACACATGATAGCCGAATTGGACATAGAAATATTCATCATAAATAATATGTAAAAGCTATGTTTTTTTTACCTTAACAATGCTTGAAATGACCTTGTAAGAAGCTTCCAAGCTTCACTCCAATCTAAGCAAACTTCCAAGCCACTTAACCATCATTTGGCCGAAAATGAGATAGTAAGTTCACCAAGGTTTTAAGCTTTTCAACACCAACAATTTGTGGCTTTCAACTCTAAATCAATTAAGACACAAAACCCATCATTAAAACCATTATCAAAACTCAAATTAACAAACTTTAAATAATCCTCAACTTACCTACCTTTGTTCTCAAAATTCAAGAGACAAGGTTTTTACAACAATGGCTCCACCAATCGTTCTCCTCTATCAAAGTGTCCCCAAACTCATCTTTACATCATGAATAGTAAGAAGACAACATCAAAATCTCCCCCCACATTATACATTTTTGGAGCACTATTCATCAAAAAACCCCAAATCCATAAATCTACTTAAAAACATGAAGCAAGGTGGAATTACTTACCCTAGAACATCAAACAACAGAGAGGTAGATGATTCATAAGCTTCCATGGCTTGAAAAGCTCTAAAACTTCACAAAATCACTTAAATCCCGAAGGTGAATATCTCTCTCTACACCGAGTCCCACTCAAAAATATTGATAGGGATGTGTAGAGAATGAAATTGCAAGCAACTTTGGCTTTGAAACGGATGGATTTCGTTAACTCTAGCTCCAATTATGATTTTTGAAAGATTTCACTCAAAATCTTTCTTTTCTCTCCAAGGTGCCGCGAAGAAGAAGAAAAAAGTAGTGGTGTGGGTTGTTTTGAGGTGTTAATTTTACCTTGCATGAGTCACTTAAGCCTATATGGTAAAAGCCCAGATCTCATAATTTGGTATATACTCACTAACCCACTTAATTATTAATCTAACCATAAATTTAATGTGCAACTTAACTCCAATCCATAAATTTACTACTCTATCATGGATTTTACCATTAACTATACTTGTGAGATATTTTCTCACTAACTTCTTCTCAATTTTTTGGTAAAATCTGAAATATTATAATTTTACCGAAAGTTCACTATAAATGTACTTTGTCTAAAAAGTGACTTATTTACATAATTAGATTTATATTTTAATTAATCTTATTTAACTATGCAAAAATCCCATAATTACTCATTTCGCAGGTTCAGGTTATTATAACTAAGATACACATATACACCATTATTATGGGTCCCCAATCCAATCTGAGACCTCAAAGATAGGTCCTACAAGATACAAGAATAATGAGTAAACTGCATTTTCCACTGTTTATTTTTTAACAACTGTGCTACAGACAATGAATTGCATTTAAGTTATGGAACTTCAAGAACACCATGAACAGTCATATTCGAATTTAAACAAATAGAGCTTTGTAGCTTGGGTTTGGGTTCCATTAGGAAAAACAACAAGAAACAAAGAGATATTGTGAATATCAAACAGTAGTTCGAAACTACTAGTCATACGTTGAGACACTCCGCTATTAATAAGCTAAACTGGGCTATGTAAATTATTACCAGACAAAGAGGCACTCTCTGTATAAGGCTGCTCCGCCAATGTAAAGGTGACTAGGGGTGTAAATGGGTCTGGCTGGTCTGGCCTAGCCTACAGCCCGACCTACGTTGAGTCTGGCCTAGCCTACAGCCCGACCTACGTTGAGTCTGGCCTAGCCCGACCTACGTTGAAAAGTAGAGTAGGCTTAGGCTTATAAGAAAGTCTTTTAATAAATAGGTTGTCAAGCTTGGCCTAAAGCCTTGTAGGCTGACCTATTTAATTTTTAAAAATAAAATAAAATAATATATTTATTTTAGGTGGGAATTAGTACCAACCCTTGTCTTGATGGTGGTTTAAAAAATTTCAATGAATGAAATTCTCTTGTAGACTTTATTTCAGCTTTGGTTGATCTAGTAATTGTATTTTTTTATTTTTCCCATTTCTTAGACTCTATTCCTCTCTGATATGCATTATAGAGCTGGGGTATTATGTTGACTCTTTCTTGTTTGTTATTTTTTATTTCTTATGAGAAGTACTAGTGCATGCATGAATAGAACTTTGCTTAGTATATTTTTTTAGATATATTTTTTACTATTGTAAAAATTTTAATACTCACTAGTGAAATTTATATCTCATGTAAAAAAATGCAGCAATTTATAAATACGTTAATGACTTGTAATGTCAAGCGAATATTTTAAAAATTGTTAAAAATATACCACGAGGGAGGCTTACAAGGCCTGTAGGCCATATCAGGCTCTCTAATTTTTAAAAATAGGCCAGACTTGGCCTATAAATAAATCCTTTAGTAGGCTAGATAGGCTGAATATTTTTTTACGTAGGCTTAGGCCAGGAAGGCCAAAGCCCAGCTCATCCCATTTACACCCCTAAAGGTGACGTTGGACTATATCAGTAGTCAAGGACGAATGTCTTACTAGAACGACAAAATTGGAATTATCACTTTGGACTGTATGAGCCTTCCCAGAACAGCCTCTCCTTCCTTGCCAACGTTCACGTCCTTTACCTGCATTATTAGTGTAGCCAAAAAAATTGTCAGCAAGTACTAGAGGAATGATTTTACCACAACGGACACACAAAGGCCGTGGGCAATGCTGATTTGTTCCCTGACGTTGTGGCTGCTGCTGGGTATTAGAGCCAGAAGATTGATGAGTCAAGAACTGAACTGACAACCTACAACCTCAGACCGATTTGCCTGAGACTGTGCAACTCCTTTGGTAGTTTCCTCATTAACAATGTTAACGTGTGCTTTATCCAGAGACACCAAGGAACACTGTTTAAAATTTTAATCCTGATAGTGCCAAAAATCTCATCATCAAGCCCCATCAAGAATTGATACACGTGATCTTTTTCTTGCTCATCAACAAGCGACTTAGAAATAGGACAGGCAGCCCCAGTGGACAAAGGTGATGCAATTTCTGGGACTCCAATTCATCCCAAACAGCTATCAACTTGGTGTAATAAGTGGTTACAGATAACCCTGTTGCTTAATACTCGACTGTGATTGCTTCAACTGATAAACACGAGAAGCGTTGTCAATGCGATACCTTTCCCGAAGATCATCCTATAATTGCTTAGCTATGTCAAAATACTGGATGTAGGGTTGTAGGCTAGGGTCAATTATATTGTGGATCCATCCCATAATCATGGAATTGATCATGACCTATGCTCGGCACTTTGGAGAGGCATGATACACAGGTTCAACAACTGCACCAGTAACGAAATCTAATTTATTCTTGGCTCGTAGGGCATTCTTCATAGCTTTGGCCCAAGTATTATAACTAATCTATCCTTTCAACATGATATTGGTTAATAGAATGCCAAGATTATCAGAGGGTGCCATATAGAACGGGGACGGTGGGTCGAGGATCTTATGTTTAGGCTGGGTAGCAGAAGATTAGGATGCCCTTGAACTTTCACTATCATTATCACTCTCGTCGGCCATCGTTCAACTAGGGTTTACAGGTTAAGGATCGAAAAAAATGACTCTTGATACCATAATAAAACTAATAAGAATACAACTTTGTTCATTGTTGTGCCAAATGGCTCTTAAATACAACAGTAAAGATTTACACTTTGAATTTGAATAATGCTGACAACTAATTCTAATCCTATGATTATATTGGCAATTAATTATATTCAATGCAACATATTAACGTACTAATTATGCTAACAACTAATTCTAATCCTATGTTTGACAATGCAAAATATTAAAATACTAATTATGCTGACAACTAATTCTAATTCTATCATTATGTATACATTAAATGCAGAATGAGAAATCTAAGTGTTAATGATTGAATGTAGTCTCACATTGGTTGAAAAAGGATTAAGTAAACATCATATAAATAGAAGGACTCATGTATATAATGCCTTAAGATTTTGGTTGTGATATGATGTCAGACTCACTTAGTGTGATTAGCCTAGCTTAGCCATTGCGGTAGTCTTCCGTCACGATTCTCCTGGACCCACCTGACATAAACTCTATAAATAAGTTGTAAAGAAACACTCAGTTATGATTTGTTAACTTCAAAGATATACAACTCATAATAGATATCTTAGATATTAGATCTCTAAGAAAGCTCATAAATTCAAGATCAATATATTAATTTTTCTACCTAGACATCTCTGTCCCTAAAAAGGAACAATCAATTTATTTTTTTTGGTATGAACCTGGAGGTATCCTCATTCAACCTCCTTCGGTCACCTTGTCCTCGGAATACAGCCCAAATGCTACTTACTCATTGAGCTTTGCCACCGGAGGAAGGATGAGACTAATCCCTCCATCGAGGAGAGAGGCGATTCCTCTAGCGTCCAAAGATTTTCTAAAAATTTGCTTGAGTCAGAATTTAAACCCCTAATCCAAGCAAACCTTTGAGAGCTCAATTGCCAGTTGAGCGGGTTAACAAATTATGATGTGCATTAACAAATTTATTAAGTAGTAAGCAGTTTTGTAAACTAAAAAAGTGAGCTAAATTTGACTTAAGAAACTAAGCCGAGTTTCTAACGAACCAGATTTACTATTATCGAATAGAGTCCAAACTAGGTTTGGTTTCGGTCCACTTCCCTCCTTCTCCCGTGGCCAAACACAAGAACTCGGCGGGTTCGCTTTTGGGTGTTTCCGTTGTTGAGGTTGAATCGAAAGCGGTGGTGAAAAATGGCGGTGGTTGAGGCGAGAAAGGCACCACGGCCAGGTAAGGGAGGGTTCGAGGGTCAAGGTTTAAGCGAGGAGGAAGCGCGTGTGCGAGCCATTGCGGAGATCGTGAGCTCCATGGTCGACCTCTCTCGGAAAGGCCAAAACGTCGATCTCAACGCGCTCAAGTCCGCCGCGTGCCGCAAGTACGGCCTCTCGCGTGCGCCCAAGTTGGTTGAGATGATCGCCGCGCTTCCCGACTCCGACCGGGAGGCTCTGCTTCCCAAGCTACGCGCCAAGCCAGTTCGAACCGCTTCCGGAATCGCCGTCGTCGCCGTCATGTCCAAGCCGCATCGCTGCCCTCACATAGCCACCACCGGTAACATTTGCGTCTACTGCCCCGGTGGTCCTGACTCCGACTTCGAGTACAGTACTCAGTCTTACACTGGTTATGAACCTACTAGCATGCGTGCAATTCGAGCAAGGTACGGTTATGTTGATTTTGAGTTATGTTAAACCCTAAACATTCTTTGAAGGAATTAGTATTGTGCCTCGTGTTAATTTTTGGGAACGATGTACTTGTTGCTGTGGATTTAGGTATAATCCGTATGTACAAGCAAGAAGCAGGATAGATCAGCTTAAGCGTTTGGGTCACAGTGTTGATAAGGTTTGGAGTTCAAATTTGAATATTTTGAACACTCCAAGTGCTTGAAATGTAGTTTGTGATGTCCTTATAAGTGTGTTTATTGTTTGCAGGTTGAGTTCATCTTAATGGGTGGTACTTTCATGTCACTTCCAGCTGATTACCGGGATTATTTTATTAGGAATCTTCATGATGCTTTGTCTGGACACACTTCTGCCAATGTGGAAGAGGCAGTGGCGTACTCTGAGCATAGCGCAACCAAGTGTATTGGCATGACAATTGAAACGTAAGTCACCATTTAAGTATTTACAATAAATGGGAAAGTTTGGAGCCTTCGTAATATACAGTTTTAAGTGAAGTTGAATGAATCTTTTTTTCGTTTTTTGGTTGCTAAAAGTAATACATCCTTTTTTGTAGTTGAATTTTTTTTCCCACTGTATTTAAGTGTATACTTTGTACAAATACTGGAAAAGTTATCACTATGGCATAAATTGGTTAAGTTATGAAACTTCTAGGGTGTTTCTGCATTTTTGGTTTGAGCGTATCAATAATTATTTTAGTGGGAACCTTGTTTGAATTTTACATGGTAATACTGTAATGTAACACATCAATGATCAACTTATCAAGTTTTACACTTCTTAAATTTAACAGGAGGCCGGATTATTGTCTTGGGCCTCACTTACGACAGATGCTTACTTATGGTTGTACTCGATTGGAGATTGGAGTCCAAAGCACCTATGAGGATGTTGCTCGTGACACTAATAGAGGACATACCGTAGCTGCTGTGGCTGATTGTTTTTGCTTGGCAAAAGATGCTGGTTTCAAGGTTTGTTATTGCCCTCTCATATCAATCTGCACCTTCAGTATTAAACACTGATTTTTGTCCTGACAAACTGTTCTCCCATATGTTCCTTCTGTTGCATCTTTCTTTTGTAGGTGAAAAATTATTCATACATATTCCTGCACACTAATTTTCAATGAACTTTATGACCTTGTGTGATGTCTCATCATATTTTCTAGACCAGGACAAGCTTTAGAAAAATTTATCAATATAATAAGCCAACTTTGTATGTTACAAGACATTATAGTACTCCAGAGTGTTTTTAATTTCCTTAATTATATCCCTTAGAATACAGATTAGGCTAGTGAGCTAGTCATGAATGTGTTAATTGACCCGGAATTAAGTAGTGGGTCAGTCTCTGTTAGTTAGTTAGTTGGAGCAGTTAGTTAGTTAGATAGTTATTTAGAGAGGGAGAGATGATAGGGTATAAGATAATAGTGAGGAGTTTTTAGACTTGGAGTTGAGATTTGTGAGGTCTCGCCAGGAAATTTCCTGGTACTGTGAGATATTTGTTTCTGTATTCCTTCTTGATTATGCAATCATCTTGATTCAGATTCAGGGAGAAAGTGGTATTCAATAAAGTTCATCTCTTTTCTGGTTCAATATCTATTAACTAGTTAGTATCAGTCTATCAGATCTCCCAGTCTTGAAACTGTGGATACTGAATTTTAAAGATGATTCCAACATTTGAAGGAGTGGAGGCATGTGGGTGGTTGATCAATGTGGAGCAGCACTTCAGTGCTGTGGGAACACCGGTGGCTGAGAAGCTAAAAATAGCTCTGAAGGCTCTGAATTCAAAAGTGTATAAACTGACAAGGTTTTGTAATGCATTGGTCAATTTCCTTATCAAGTGTAGTAGCCAGCTGGGAGCCTCATACATCTGCTCTTTCATGTTTCCTTGTTGAAGAAGGATATGTCCTTGCTGGGATATGATAGGCTGCTGAATTTCACTTGTTAGCAGACCCCCAATTAAAAAGTGGGCCTCTCTTTGTTAGCTAATTAGTTATAGAGGGAGAGATGACAAGGTATAAATAATAGGAGGGAAATAATAGTGAGGAGTTTTTAGACTTGGAGTAGAGATTCAGGAAGGTGAGCTAGGACTCTCGAATTTCCTGGAACTTTGAGATGTACGTTTCTGTATTCCTTCTTTTCCATCTTCCTTCTTGATTCTGCTATCACCTTGATTCATATTCAAGGAGAAGAATGATATTCAATAAAGTTCATCTCGTTTGCATCTTTTCTTTATCATTTCTGGTCCAGTTTCTTCTCAATTTGTTCTTTACTCTTTCTTGTCATTTTGTATATGCTTAATTTTTTTTGCTTTTGCTTTAGGTTGTCGCTCACATGATGCCTGATCTTCCCAATGTTGGTGTTGAAAGGGACATGGAAAGTTTCCGGGAGTTTTTTGAGAGTCCCTTGTTTAGAGCAGATGGCCTTAAAATATATCCTACTCTTGTAATTCGTGGAACTGGGCTTTATGAGCTCTGGAAAACAGGCAGGTACTTGTCAAATGTGTGGTATTCTTTGGAATACTTTTTTTCTCAAAATTGTCAATTTCTATTTTAGTATTCATTGGTAAATTTTTAAAAAAAATTGGCCTGTGGAAAGTAAAATATTTCATTAATACAACTGTAGGTATAGAAATTATCCACCTGAGCAACTTGTGGACATCATAGCAAGGATCCTTGCAATGGTACCCCCGTGGACACGTGTTTATAGAGTTCAGCGGGATATTCCCATGCCTCTTGTTACATCTGGGGTTGAGAAAGGGAACCTGAGGGAGCTAGCATTAGCTCGAATGGAAGACCTGGGATTAAAATGTCGTGATGTTCGGACCAGAGAAGCTGGAATCCAGGTTATTATATAGAATCAGTATCGTCTGGAAAGATTGCAAAGTCTTTAAAATTCTGCAGACACTATTTGCTTAGTAAATATTTTTTTGGAGCACTATCAAATATTTTGTATTTCTTTGTAGGATATTCACCACCAAATAAAGCCAGAAGAGGTGGAGCTTGTTCGTCGTGATTATATGGCAAATGAGGGTTGGGAAACATTTCTGTCTTATGAAGATACACGGCAGGTAAATTAACCTCTCTTCCCTCTTACTCATTGCTAGTGCCTATCCTTATGTCTACAGATGTGCATATTCTCCAACTAGTTCCTGCTTTAGTCATCTTTTTTTTTACTTGAGAGCTGTGACATGCAAACTTAGTTCATAGCTGGCTGTGTTCCTCTTTTACATATTCTGCCCTCTTCTTTTGTGAATCAGGAGGGACATATCTCAACCTTTTCTTCACTTCTTTGTAAAAAAACTTCTGTTGCCGAAACTTAGTAATGACCTTGTTTGTACTCTCTGCTCGTAACCAGGATATCCTTGTTGGTTTGTTGCGACTGCGAAAATGTGGCCGGAACACTGCTTGTCCGGAGCTTATGGGGAAGAGTTCTATTGTTCGTGAGCTCCACGTTTATGGAACTGCTGTACCAGTTCATGGGCGGGATGCCGAGAAGCTACAACACCAGGTAATGATGTCATGGTACTACAGAGATGACATGCAACATCAATTAGAATGTTCAAATGATCTTATTGGATGAAAGAATCTGGTTAAGATTACCGGGATTTTGTTTTTGGAATACTGGAAGGTGCAGAGTTGTTAGTGTATATAAAATTCTTTAGCAATGTATATTATCCAAGAAAAATATGCATATGAATATTCATAGTGTAGCTTTCTTAGTACACTAATAGCATTTGCTTTTTTTTATTCTTCTAATTGACCTACTTCCAACCAAAATTATTGCTGACAGGGTTATGGTACGCTTCTAATGGAGGAGGCAGAGCGTATTGCGTGCACAGAACATAGATCAACAAAAATAGCTGTAATTTCAGGGGTTGGCACGCGCCATTATTACAGGAAACTGGGATATGAGCTTGAAGGGCCTTACATGGTGAAATATCTAGTGTAATAACTAATAATAGTTATTTGTTATGTAATTTTGTAGTTGTTAGTGATATGTTTTAAATGCCTATCATAGGGCATTCATTTGTGCACAAAGGTTTCCTCCCCATTCTCAGCTAGTCTTGAAAATTTAGATACTGATTTTTATAGTTCCCGAGTTTTCTTCCGAGATTTAATAATATCTATTGTTGATAGGTTCCTCTTGAAATGATATCATCAAGTGCACTACTAGTAATTGACTTTACCCTGCATTCCCTTTATTCCTTTAATACACAAGTCGCCCGTAGTTATGCGAGCTTGTCAATATAGGAATATTGCTACTTTTACTGAGTTTCTTAGGCGTTGAGAGTGCTAAAGTTCGGTTTAAGAATTTCGGGACATGTAGTTTTTCCCCAAGAATTTTAAAAATATGTTCAAACATGGCATGGTCTAAGAACGAGCTACTGAAGCTAAATATTAAAGCCATTATTTTTTTAGTGGGTGTGATGTTTTTCATGTTAAAAGAAATAAAATTATCTCTTATACATATATAAAAGTGTGTGGGATTTATGTAGGATTATGTAAGGAGAAGAGAGAGAAAAAGAAATTATGAACTTTACATATTTTTTATGTTTGTGTATGAAATAATTTTATCTTCTATAACATGATAAATATTAAAATTAAACCCTTTTTTAATATGCTTTTGAGAAATCAACAACTCAAATCTCTTTGTCCAGAAAAAAAAAAACAACAACTCAAATCTCTTTTCTCTTTTGGGGATGATCGGATAAGATATATTTTATTTGTAGTCAGAATCATATGGATTAACACGACCATATTTATGGACTTTTTTGTTCCATAGGACGTGTACCGAAAATCTTTATAACATAGGCTAAACAGTTTGAATTCTTCAATCCAGTTTAATCTTTATAACAATAATTTATATAAAAAAAATAAAATTTCTCTCTCTCTCTCTCTCTGGTTTTTCCTACCACATTAATGGCCGATTTTTATTTTATTTTACTTTATTGTGTTCTAAGTGATTTTTGCTTTGTGTGACAATCATTTCTCCACCTTAGAATGGGATATACATCATCCAGACGCACAAAGGGAATATTTGTAATTTCTTTCGGAACTGCTGGTACTGTTGCTTTCGTACTGATATTTTATTTTATTTCAACTATGATGATGTTCGAGTTATTCCATTGGTACATTAAATCAAACGAAAAAAACTTGATTTAATGATCCCCATATACTGAATAATATAAGTTTACTTAGACGATTATTGATTTTTGATTTTATCTAACTATTTAGCCTACCTGGGAATGAGTGACTCGTGCTTCTCAAACATTCAAAATAATTACGAATCGGTAGGTCTCTTTCGCTCAACCACCGTAACGTGGCTTAATAAGTTATTTCGTAACGAAAAGCATTACTACCTTTGTCACTATTTTTTCATGCTTCCGGTCTCACCATGATGAAATCAACCTTCACTCCCATTTTCTGGGTACTTGCCCCCAAACCCAAACCCAAATCTCCAAAACTATCATCTCAAGCAATTACCAGCACCTTCACAAACAGCACACCACGTGTTCGACAAAACGCCTCTCTCAAACCCCACCCCATCACCACCACCCCATCACTCCCTTCTTCAGCTTACATTCACCTCCCTTTCTGTCGAAAACGTTGCCACTACTGTGACTTCCCCATCGTCGCTCTTGGCTCCGCTTCAGCCCAAATAGACGACGACCCACGAGTCTTAAACTACATGCAATTGCTCCACAGAGAAATCAATGCAACCAAATTGGAACTTGATGCCAAGACACCCCTTGAAACGGTCTTTTTTGGTGGTGGAACACCCTCCCTCGTACCTCCGAGGATGGTTTCCTCGGTTTTGGAGACTTTAAGGATGAAATTTGGGTTGAGTGAGAATGCTGAAATATCAATGGAAATGGATCCGGGCACGTTTGATGCTAAGAAGATGCAAGAGATGATGATGTTGGGAGTTAACAGAGTGTCTTTGGGAGTTCAAGCATTTCAAGAGAAGCTGTTGAGGGCTTGTGGGAGGGCACATGGTCTAAAAGAGGTTCATGAGGCTATTGATATTGTCAAGCTATGTGGGGTTGAGAATTGGAGTATTGATCTTATAGCTTCATTGCCTCATCAAACTAGTGATATGTGGGAAGAAAGTCTTAGGCTCACCATTGAGGCACAACCAACTCATGTTTCAGTTTATGATTTGCAAATTGAGCAAGGCACAAAATTTGGAACACTGTAAGTGGAAGTCACAATCATTAGCAGTAGTGGAAGTATCTTTTTTTTTTTTAAGCTTTATGATGATTTGGAATCTGAAGGTGAAAATGTTTACAGGTATTCACCAGGGGAATTCCCTATGCCTTCTGAGATACAATCAGCTGAATTCTATAAGATGGCTTCTAGAATGCTTTGTGATGTGAATTATAATCATTACGAAATCAGCAGCTACTGTAAGAGTGGATATGAGTGCAAACACAACTTTACCTATTGGAAAAACAAGCCTTTCTATGGTTTTGGCCTTGGCTCTGCTAGTTTCATTGGTGGGTTGAGGTTTTCAAGACCTAAGAAGGTGAATGATTACATTAATTTTGTGCAAAATCTTGAAAATGGATTAGTAAAGACCTCTGCCGATGACAACATTCTTGGCAAGGACACAGCCATGGATGTTGTGATGCTGTCCCTAAGAACTTCAAGAGGCTTAGACTTGAAGTGTTTCCAAGAATCATTTGGGAGCCCTGTTGTTTTGTCTCTGCTCGAGGCTTATAAGCCTTATGTTGAGAGTGGACATGTGGTTTGTTTGGACAAGCAGAGGAGAACCATTAGAATAGAAGACCTCAACAATTCTCTATTGGATAAAACTAACACAGAAAGGAAGCTGGCCTATATAAGGCTAAGTGATCCAGAAGGTTTCCTCTTATCAAATGAGTTAATATCGATCGCTTTTAGGGTTATTGACTCTTAGAGGGATTGCCTTCCATACTTAAGAGGCTACTTGAAAGCATGTCTATTTGTTAAAGCAACACACAAGTTATTATCTAACAATTACTTTGTGCCTATTTTTACAGAGCAAGCATTTTACAGGTGATTATGTTGAGAATAGTGGGGGTGAATCAGGTAGTGGGACATTGTTGTAAAATAGTTATATTTTGATTAAACAAAATTCACGCGTTGAAAGTTATACTTGAAGCAAGAAGAGTATCGGTGAAAATTCACGCACATTCAAATATTATCTCTACCAGTTAGGCTTTGTGATAATAGTTGTTGTTAAATTACAATCCCAAGGCCGAAGAGCAAGCACAATGAGCCTCATTTCCTGTGAGGCTTTCGCTTTGAAGTCAATGAGTTGGTTTCGAAGTGGGGGTGTGTTATGTCTTTCTTGGGTGCCTTATTGTTCAACTAATGAAGAACAACTTGATGCTCGCTTTTGTGGCAGCGTTTTTCTGCTATTCCATCATTGTTCTTCGTTCCAATAGATTTCTAACTAGGGACTTGAAATGTGTTCAAGACCATATATAAAACCAAGGGATAATTGACAGCTCCAAGTTGCTGGTACGAGTCTAAAGTACTGAGAGACAATAAAAAAAATTCAGCACTTTAGCAAAACATCGCAACCTAGTACCAGTAGATTTTGCCTATTCTTAGACAACGTGGAATATAAGCAAACTTTTATTTTAATTTCTATTGTTTTAAATTATTTTGTATTGTAACAGTTTTATAAAAATAAGTTGTAATGTTAAGTACTGCTATTCTAGCCAGAGGCTTAACTTTTTCGTCACTGACATTGTATCTACTAACCCCTTTTGCTATTTGATGCGATATAATATTAGTAAATTTCTCAAATTTCACTGACTTTATTCGTACACTGTTGTATCTACTAACCCTTTTGCTATATGATGTGATATAATAGGCATCGTGATCTACGTTTTCTCGATCGATGCTCGAGGACTTTTGGAATGATGAATGGGATAGGATCATCCGGATCCCTGATGTATCGTATTCATCACTTAGGGCATTTGTCAATTTCTTGTACACCGGCGACGCTGAGTGTTACCGGGATTTTCGAACTGCGTGCGGCCTCCTCTTTCTGGCTGAAAAGTATGCAGTCACACCTCTTAGGGGTGTTTGGTTGAGGAAATTTTTTTTGAATACTAGAGAAATGTAATTGATAGAAAAATGGTTGGAAAGTGAGTTTGGTAGGAAAATGTAAAAAAAGTTGTTTGGTTGAAAAAAAATTTACCGGGCAAATGAGATAAGATTTATAAAGTCTATGTTTGATTTGAGGTAAAATATAGATGGAAAAATAAGTAGCAATTACAAAAATATCCCTAGGTTTGGCGTCTGTAATGATTTTGTTTATGAAAACATGCTTTGGGTCTTGGCTTCTCTGCGGGTTTTCTTCACAAACTACGTGCTTTACTCCTTGTGGTTGATGCTCAGATACATCTTCAGGTTTGGTGATTTTTCTCATCTGGGTTATTGGTATTTAGTTTTTTTTTTTTTTTTTGGGTAAATGCAGAGAAAATGAGTGATGATTCCTTTATTTGATGTTTCATATTTCATGTAGAAGACAACAAAAACGATCACCTTGTTCCAGTAGCTGTAGCTGATCAAGCCAAGAGGAATCATTTTGAAGATTCTGAGATTAAAGGGTTCACAGAAGAGTTGGCTAATTTGATATTTCAGAGCTCTGAAGATTTTCATGTAGCCAGTGAAGAAAGAGAAGGAGAAACAGAGAGCTCTGTTTTAAAGGAAAAGGACCCTGATATTTAAATAATAGGAGCTTCATTCACAGAACCATCGCCTCTTGGCGGATCCAATACCAATCCCGGTCGATCCCGCTCCGGCGTTCCCCTCGTCCAGCGATCAGGCTCCACAAAATAACAAGGGTAGTAGGTTAAGCAAAGGGTAGTTTAGGCAGCAGCTATTTCCATGGTTTTCATTTCCCTAGCTATCCGTCGAATACCACAGTCAAAATAGGATTTCAATGCTGTAGTTTTGGTCCAATTTTACATGCAAATGTCAATTGCTATGCAAATCATTTACATAGGAAAATTTTTGGATTCCCTCTCCCAAACGTTGACAACTAACTTACCCATTTTGAGATGCCTATCAAAATTTTGAGATTCCCTCTACCAAACACAACCTTAAGGTGACATGTGTAAGGCATCTTAAGGATTTTTCCGACGATGACTTTTTTTAGCTTTGTCCAAGAGACAGTGGCGGAGGCAGGATTTAATTTTAGCCGGGCCAAAAAATTTGACATATTAAATTATCAAAAAAAAATCATAATTACACAAATCTATTAGAAAAAAAATTTACTTAAAATTTTCTAAGTAATAGAATCACTGTTATTTTAACAAATAATAGTTATTTATTTAAAATTTAAAATATAATATAAAATGAAATTAGTAAAGAAAGTGCAAATTATATATACATAGAAATTTTCATGTGATTTTTATGCACATTTTCATGTGATCTTTGATAACATTATTTCATGTGGTGTTAACGAAAGCTTATTTCATGTGATATTAATGAAAATTGATTTGATGTGATCTTTGTGAATAGTTTTTTTTTTTTTTATATTTTAATTTGATTTGGGCCTACAAACTTTAGTTTGTAACTTGGTGGGCCTTACTAGTCGTATTCGATTTTTTTAGTTTTTTATAATAAGGCAAGCCATAAATCAAGTATTTAATAGGCTAATAGGTCAGTATAGGTTCCAGATATTTTACATAGGCTTAGGTTATCAAAGTCAAAGTTTGGCTTAACTTAGCCCATTTACACCCCTAGCTGTGACCTTGAAGAACATTAACATAGAGAGACAACAAACTTCACAATTAAAAAGAAACATGAAATAATTAACGACAAATGTCTAAAATCATTTAAATGACATTGGATCCACATAAATCATTTGATTAGTGTTTAGATATTTTAAAAATACAAAAAAAGAAGAAGTTGTTAATGAATATGTATAAGAAATTTTCATACTTCATATATATACATATATCTTCATTGATTTTTCTCTTTAACAGTTTTCACTAATTAATAACCAAAATTCACATTTTTGTTGTGAAAAAAAATACAAATAACACCAATAAATAATTCAATTCCATTACCAATAGCAACTGTAGCTCTACATTAAAAAAAATTCTAAAAAGGTAAACGTAAAACAACACTCTATTTTTTCAAAAGAAATAAAATCAATAACTACAACCACAAAAAAAAAGTTGTTAATAAAATAAAGGGAGCGTGAATTTCACTCATGTTAGAAACACCCAATAAACAATTATAGTTAGCAAAGACAAAGAATTTCAATTTTATAAGGTTCAAAAATATAAATCAATTTTTTTCACCAACGGACAATATAATTACCAATGCATATTCCAAGAACAGGTATTCGTAGAATCTTGAAGAAAGGAACGAAACATCGTGCCTTGTCGCAGAATGGATGGATTCCTCTAGGTGGTAAGTGCGAATAAGAAAAAAAAAAGGTTAGAAAAAAACCTCAATTAGAAAAAGATGAAAGAAGAAGAAGAAGAAATTAAGAAGAAAGAAATATGTTATCTAGTCATACACGGAAAGCAGCTCCATATCTTCATCTGTTACCACTGTTACCATTTTAGCTAGGGTCAACTTACAATTTTAGCTAGGGCCCAATTATAATTACTTATATAATTATGGGAAAAACATCTATTCTTTTAAAGGATATAACCTTATATCATTTTAGATCCTAACCGTTGATTTTCGTTCATCAATGATTATAATCTATTGGGTCAAACTTAATGGGCCAAATTTATTATTAATTAATTAGTAATTTTGATTCAATAAATTATAACCATTGATAAACGAAAATCAACGGTTAGGATCTAAGATGATATAAGCTTATATTCTTTAAAATAACAGATGTTATTCCCTATAATTATATACACGAAGGAAAGTTCTCACATTTGGGAATTAGGTTTTTGACTATTCTTTGTGTGCAATAACCCAAAACACAATAGTTTAATGGACTTCATATTCCATAATTATAGTCCTGTTATTCATTTGGTTTCATGATTGTTACTTTCAAAGGTTAAGTATTTGTTCTTTTAAAGGACACAAATTGTGTTCTTTTAGATTTTAACATTATATATTACGGGTAAGACATAGTTATAACATGAAAAATAATTTTTTTCTCTCTCCACGTCAGCTGAAATGACTGAGGAAATAGGAAAAAAAGTAATTTTTCATATTATAACTATGTTTTACATGTAAGATATAGTGTCAAAAACTAAAAGGATACAACCTTGTGTCCTTTAAAAGGACAAACCTTTTTTTTCTACTTTTAAATGTGTTTATTTGGTTTAATTGGGCCCATATTTTGAAATAGGTCAACTAATCATTTTTGTGATTAAGTTTAGAAGTCTTTCTTTTTTAAAATAACTAGTGTATTACCCGTGCTTTGCGCGGAGAAAAAAAAATTGGTTTGTTTGTCTCATAAAAATTAACGCAACACATAAAAGTATATTGTTGAATTTTACCTTGTCATATGATCATTAAAAAATTCCAAAGTTTGACTCAACTTCTTTCATTATTTTCCAGAGATGAACTTTCATTTAGAAAGATCAAATTTACAAAATAATAGTACATAAATATTTTTTGCAAAGATTTGTGTCATTAGTATTTGAAATTTTTCAAATTCGTATTTATAAAAATTGAAATCAGAATTAGAAATTTAATTATAAAAGAAGAAGGGCAAAATTTTAATTTAATTATAAAAAAATGTTGGCGGGTCGGTCCTCCTGACCAAGTCTAGTGTCCAACCTCTAATTGTCAGCATTATATACCAGCATGTAATACATTTTTATATTTATCCACATAAAAAAATTCTTATAGTTGCATACATGTATCTAAGTTTTTATATTTTATCTCAGATAAGGACATTCATTTATTACAATTAAATTTACAAATTAATAATAAATAATTATTTTCTTGTAAGGATTTGTGTCCTTAGTATTTTGAATTTTACAAATTTGTATTTAAAAAAATCGAAACCAAATTTAGGAATTTAATTATAAAAGAAGAAGTATGAAATTTTAATTTAATTATGAAAATAAGTTGGTGGGTCGGCCCTTTAGGACGAGCCTAGTTTGCCACCTCTAACTTTCAGCATGTAATATGTTTTTATATTTATCCACAAAAGAATGTTCTTATAATTGCATTTAGGGTTTTATATTTTATCTCAGAGATGGACTTTAATTTATTACAACAGATTTACAAAATAATAATAAATAATTATTTTATGCAACAATTTGTGTCGTTAGCATTTGAAATTTTACAAATTTGTATTTACAAAAATTAAAATCAGATTTAGGAATTTAATTAAAAAAGAAGAAGGGTGAAATTATAATTTAATTATAAAAATGCGCGTTGGTGGGCCGGCCCTCCGGGCCGAGGCACAGTTTGCCATCTCTAACTATCAACATATAATAGATTTTTATATTTATCTACAAAAAAAGGATCTTATGGTCGCATTTAGGATTATATATTTTATCTCAAATATGAACTTTCATTTATTACAATCACATTTAAAAAATAATAATAAATAATTATTTTTTGCAAGGATTTGTGTCATTAGTATTTGAAATTTTAAAAATTTGTATTTACAAAAATTAAAATCAGATTTATGAATTTAATTATAAAAAAAGAAGGATATAATTTTTATTTAATTATAAGAATATGTTGGTTGGCTGGCCCTCCGGGCCGAGCCCAGTTTGCAATTTTAATTATGAACATTTTATGTAAATAATTATTTTTTTGCAAGGATTTGTGTACTTAGTATTTTGAATTTTACAAATTTAATTTACAAAAATTGAAATCAGATTTAGGAATTTAATAATAAAATAAGAAGTATGAAATTTTAATTTAATTCAAAAATAAGTTGGTGGGTCGCCACTTCGGATCGAGCCCAGTTTGCCACCTCTAACTATCAGCATGTAATAAATTTTTATATTTATCCACAAAAGAATGTTCTTATATTTGCATTTAGGTTTTTATATTTTATCTCAGAGATGGACTTTAATTTATTACAACAGAATTACAAAATAATAATAAATAATTATTTTATGCAACAATTTGTGTCGTTAGCATTTGAAATTTTACAAATTTGTGTTTACAAAAATTAAAATCAGATTTAGGAATTTAATTATAAAAGAAGAAGGGTGAAATTATAATTTAATTATAAAAATGCGTTGGTGGGCCGGCCCTCCGGGCCGAGCCTAGTTTGCAACCTTTAACTATCAACATTTTATGTAAATAATTATTTTTTTGCAAGGATTTATGTCCTTAGTATTTTGAATTTTACAAATTTGTATTTACAAAAATTAAAATCAGATTTAGGAATTTAATTCTAAAAGAAGAAGTATGAAATTTTAATTTAATTATAAAAATAAGTTGGTGGGTCGGCACTCCGGGCCGAGCTCAGTTTGTCACCTCTAACTATTAGCATGTAATAGGTTTTTATATTTATCCACAAAAGAATGTTCTTATAATTGCATTTAGGTTTTTATATTTTTTCTCAGAGATGGACGTTCATTTATTACAACATATTTACAAAATAATAATAAATAATTATATTTTGCAACAATTTGTGTCGTTAGCATTTGAAATTTTATAAATTTGTTTTACAAAAATTAAAATCAGATTTAGGAATTTAATTATAAAAGTAGAAGGATGAAATTTTAATTTAATTATAAAAATGTGTTGGTTGGCCGGTCCTCCCGGCCGAGGCCCAGTTTTCCAACTCTAACTATCATCATGTAATAAATTTTTATATTTATCCACAAAAAAGATTCTTATGGTCGCTTTTAGGATTTATATTTTATCTCAAATATGAACTTTCATTTGTTACAATCACATTTAAAAATAATAATAAATAATTATTTTTTGCAAGGATTTGTGT